TTCAAATGCCTGATGGAAATGGTGATTATGTGACTTGGTTCAGTGTGGAGCACTACTACCAGGTATTTGTTTTTCTGCATAAATTCTAATAGTTGCAGTTCTCTTTGTTTGCTTATGAAATATAACACAATGTATAGGCACACAAATTTGTTGGGGTCAATGATCCTTTTGCTCATAATTGCGTTGAAAGGATTAAATCTGCGAAAAGTCCAGAAGAAGCTGCGAGAATAGGAAGGTCAATGCAGAGACAGAGACCTGATCTGGTATGACCATCTATACTGAGGCAGGGCTATAATAATGAAAATTTGAGTGGCCAAATGTTAAATACACGGGCCTTGAAAGTGAAATTTCGGGGGGCCCAAAACACACTGATTATTAAAATTTAGGTCGAGAAGTGAAGAAAATTTTACGATTTTTATGAATAATTTTGGATCTACTTCTGAAAGCCATCCTAATTTTATGATGGCTGGGAATATACATTGGAACTGATATTTAGGTGGGTACACAGGTAAGGCCTGACTGGGACAACATAAAGATTGAAGTAATGTACAGAGCTCTTAAATGCAAGTTCTCAATCTACCCTCATCTGAATAACATGCTGATCTCAACTGCCGGTTCGGTGCTTGTCGAGGCAGCCCCGCATGACCTGTTTTGGGGTGGAGGTCGGGATGGAGAAGGCTTAAATTATCTTGGCCGACTATTGATGCAATTGAGATCAGAGTTTCTTGGGGAGGAGTCTTCATCCGTTGATAACGACTAAAGTTCAGGATTAGCGAGCTTGCATCCATGAGACATCAAACTAATCGACTAGACTCATTTTGTTTGATTAGTGGCAGCACTTGCTCTTGAAGCTGATTATCATTTTACTTCTGTCAAATTTATTTTCTTGTCACCGTGGATTATCAACTAGCAATAAAAGAAATAATTGAGACCTTATTTTCCTCTAACTGAAAATGTATACATGCATTGAGCCTCCAATTGAAAATTCATATGCGTATTTTTCGTTTGGGGAGATGTGTTTCTCAAAATTTTATTCGAATTTTAGGATTTTATTTTTAGAGAAAATGCAAAAAAAAAAAAAAGGTTGTTGAATTTCAAAATTTTAAATAAAGAATTACTATAAAAATGTATTATGATTTACTTTTCAAGTGTAGTTTTTTTTTTTTTTTTTAAAGTATAGTGATCAATATGAAGTTCGATAGTCATTTTTTCAGGATTTTTTCTTATTTTTATCTATCCGCTCATTGGCTAACCATAAAGCTCAAAAAATAGCATTTGGGCATTTTGATCAAATCACACTTTCACTGAGACTTTCGCTTTTCATCACTCGTTTAACGTAAGTACTAAGGAGTAACTTTTCGTATGCAAAAATCACGGTGGAGGTGTGGGCAATGGTCATTTTTCCAAGATCCCTTCCTCCGATAGTCCCACCCCCGTTCCTGCGCCCTGTCAATGATGCATTCTGCTTCTCTTTCCCTGTTATTTCTTAACGAAGTTACCAAGTTTATATTTTGTTTTAAAAGATATGTACTTGAAATAATTATTTTTTTTTCATAGTAAAATCTGAAATTTTATTTTGGTATTCATGTCGATTATTGAAAATAAATGATATTTACAAAAAATGGAAAAAATTATGGAAGGCATACCCTTTAAATAATTATACATCTGAAGTAATTTTACTGAATAAAACATAAACAAAATCATTTCTCTCCAAGTCTCTTAATTAAAAATATGTTTCTTAATAAAAATCATGATTAATTGATGTCACTTCTGAATAATAATATCATTTATGAAAATCATGATAATCTGAAATCACTTTTGTCAACTCCAATCCAAACTTAACAAAAAAGAAAAGAAGAAAACTTCAACCTGCAGAGGCACTAAGTCACATTATTAAGAATTTGTTTTGATAAAAATTCCCCCATTAAGTATTTAAGTTTTAAAGCTTTATGTTTCCCTCCAAAAATAACTGTAATATATGTTTTAAAATTTATTTGTTATGTCATTATATTGCTTTTGAAATAGTCAACTGTCTCAGGAGAAGAAATTAAACTTTTAGAATAACATTTTATATTAAAATTTTAGAATAACATTTTATAATTAAATTTTAAAGAAGTCTGAGAGCTGTTATCGAAAATTGTAGTTCAATTATTTTTAGTTTTCCGGTTATAGAAAAAGAGAAGCAATTGTGAAGTAGAGAACATTAAGGGAGTGTTTGGATGAAGCCAAATCATGGTTTGGAGAATAGTTTCTGGAAAATAGATTCCGGAGAGAATAGATTATGAAAGAATAGATTTTCTGAAAAAGTGATTCTGATAAAGTGAGAGTGTTTGGATAGTTATCATCAGAAGTACTTTTTATATGTGCAAATTACTAAAAAAGATATAAGTTAATATGATAATTACATAAAAAATAAATTTTATAATATAATTTAATTTCAAGAAATAAATTTGTTAATATATTTTTTACCAGCATAATTAATAATATATAAGAAAATGTAATTAAAAATAATTAATATTTATATATATATTTATAAAACATAAGATTAAATATGTTTTTTTATAAAAATAATTATTTTCTTGCCAATAGAAAAACACCTCACCAACGCCTCTTCTTACTAGCTGAGGATATGAATTGCACCGCCACCACGACGTCTATTGAACGAGCAAGGAGGAAAAAAGAAAAAGAAAAAGAGGATTTGATTTTAATAGAGGGTCATTCTTGTCTAGACCGTTGCTTTCTTCTGACACTCATAATAATTATACCAGCACCCACAATTGGAGCCTCATAAGCGAAATGTTTTAGCTTTTCCCGGGACCTTGGTTTCGGAAACGGAAACCATGGTTTCAGATTGAAACCATGGTTTTTGAAAATATTAGGTGTTTGGCTAATTTTTCTCCAAACCATGGTTTGGGTCTCCAAACCATGGTTTGGAGAGATAGCCAAACACCCCCTAAAAAGAACAGAAAAGACAAAAAAAGGAAGACGAATGAGAAGTGTGGAGGCATGCTTCTTGGAGTTTATATCATTATCATTTTCGTTCAGGTTGACGAGGACATTGGGTCCTTCCTGATTCCTTCAATGATTTTCAAAACGTAATTCCGATTTGCATCTTATAAAAAAGATGAAATTATTAGAAATTCCTTACTCATCCATTCCCTAGGAGTTCATTAAGGCATGTCTTCGGATAACTATTAAAACAACCTTTATTAGAACTCACTCTGTAAGTACACAAAATAAATTGAGCGATTAAAGCATTGGGTTTTCACATGTGAGTGAAATTCTATGGCCCAACAAAGCTCTCCTTCAAGACTATGTGGAGAGGTTTGCCATTCCAGCTATCAATGTGCAAGTCTTGAGTTTTCCCCTTGATAATGGTTTTAATCTTGACAGTGAAACCTCCAGCAATCACAGTACAGATCTGGATCATAATTTATAACATGAGTCGGAAAACTCCAAATTCAATTATGCATTGTTCAGATCAAAATATTAAAAGTTTATTCATCACGGCATTGATTACAAATCAAATTCACATCATTTTGATTATGTAAATGCATCTCAATTGACGACATCTTTTCATGTTTTAAGTAACTCAAACATGAAACACATAAACATATAGATAACTATATGTTAAAAAGTCAAATTTATTAAAACAAAGTAAAACGATGCAAAATATTTTGGACTTCCAAATACACCATGAAGCAGCACAAATTACGGAAGGCCAATAATACAAAGTAAGAAGCTGAAATATAATAAATGCATAAACTATTCTCAACTCAAAATTATATACAAATAACTCTCCTATTTGATATTGGACTCTCATAAATTTTAAAGTATATAGAGATAATGTCAAACTATTATTTTTATATTCTTTAAATTTTATTTTTACATGTATATAACCGTATCAAACTTTAATTTATATGCGGATAAATTTCTCAAACTTGAAAAATAATGAACAAAACTAATAATAAAGTTTCAAAAGCTAGGAAGATATTATTTACCCATGACATGAAATTTATAGAAGCCGAAAATAACCACAAGCCAACAACGTTTGAGATTTATATGTAATCCAAATATACATTTTCTTATATTTATTATCACGTGAAACCATCTTCTCTGATGTTGGTTTTGCAAAGAGATCTCCAGAGTCTGGCAATAACAGAAATAGGAGTCATTTAGGCTAATTAGTTGGTTTTGATTGTATTTTTTCGGCTGATATTAACTACTCTTCCGGTCCTTAATATGAGACTTATTTAACTAATTTGGTTAGATTAAGGAAATTAGGTAAGTTAGTTAATTATAAGAAATATGACATATTTTTTCTAAAACACAGTAATCATCTTTCTTACTATCCTTTCTCTCTTATTTACTTGATTATGGTTGATGGAGTATTTATAGGGGTAATTTAGAAAAAACTAATAAATATGAGAAATATGTCTTATATTTAAAACTAAAATTAACTTAATACTCCTCTGGTCCTTAATATATAAGACCCATTTAATTAATTTGATTAGATTAAGGAAGTTAGATAAGTTAGTTAATCATGAAAAATATGACACATTTTTCTTAAAATACCATAATCATCTTTCTTAATACCGCTCTTCCTCTTCTACTTGATTATAGTTGATGGAGTATCCATAGAGGTAATATAGAGAAAATTGATAAATATAAAAAATAGGTCTTATATTTAGAATCAAAACTAACTCAACAATTAAATTCTATATTAAGAACTGAAAGAGTAATTAGGTTTTATATTAAATAACGGTAGAGTATAATAGGTTATCGGTAGTTGTAGTTTTCCCTTTGATTTTGAAAGAAAATGAAGTATTATTCCAACAGCCTTTGGGCTCTTACTGTAAAAACAACAACAATAACAATAATAAACCTTTTGGCTCTCCAAAAATTATTTTTGTCTGTTTCTCTGTCTACAGCAGGTCATGTCCTTAAGAGCGGGTTTCAGGCGATCTTTTTTGTTGTTGGTGGTTGCGATTATTTCTCTGATTCAACTTGTCCAATTTCCTTTCTGCAACACCCCGCAACCCCACCAAAAATAACTGACTCACACATTCTCTTTGGTTTGGATTTGCTCCTTTCTTTTTCCCCCTATTTATTTCCAATCTCGATCTAAAGAAGGAGATAATGATCAAACTGCAAAGCCTGTGCCTGTCTGTGTATCTGATTCCGGCGTCGCGGGCTTCCCGCTGTCGATGACATTTGCTGCATGTTTGTTACGCAGATCTGAGCCTTATGCCGTGCCTTTTATAATTAACGGTACGCAAAGCAAGTAAAAATAAGCGGGAGCTCTTTTAGTTGCTGCTTCACCCCCGAATTGGAGCTTTTCATAGTGGATACGGTATTGAAGCGCATATCATTTGGGAATTTCCTGAGGAGTTGTTATTGCCGTCGACACCTTTCCTCTCACTTGTATTTCAGCTATTTAGGGTGAGCTGGTGGATTATTTCTGGACTACTGCCTGTATCTGCAGCTTCTCAAGGTTTTCCCCTATTCTTTGTGACGGATCCATCAACAGAATATAGGAGGTGCGATTGCTCAGCTGGTCTGGAGTGCATTCTCAGCATTCTCAGGGCCCTCAGGATGGGGTCCTGCTTCTCTGCGGAAAGCAGGAGCCCGCTTCCCACTTCACCTTCGGGAATCAGTAGACGGAAGAACTCTAGAAGAAGACTGGGATCCAGGAGTTCTTCCTTTGACAATTGGAGGGATGAGCCCCTGCATAGAATTCCGGGGAGGCTTTTTCTTAATGGGTCTAGTGAAGTTGCGTCCCTGTTCACTCAACAAGGCAAGAAAGGCACCAATCAAGACGCCATGATTGTTTGGGAGGTTAGATCTTTCTCCAATTTTGCATGCTGAGTGTTGAATGGTTCTTCCATTTTAACGTAAGTTTCCGCCGGACGATAGGTTAAGCATTAATTATCTAGTATTCTTTGGAACAGTTTTTCGCACTCTGTTCAGATGATATCCAAATTATTTACCTCTATCTTGTTCCGTTTTATATTCGGGCAACGAACCGCGCCTCTCTGTTTTTTTTTTTTTATTACATGATATTCATCTTAAATTCTTTACAATAAAATATTGCCTCTAAATTATGTGCACCAAGGATGGAGTGACGAAGGATATCGTAGATGAATGGACCCCAGAAATGCTACTCCGTTAGTAAATGATGGCCTATTCGTTTGTCGTTTACTTTTATCCTTCTGCAGTTACCGTTTTTTGCTCCCTGGCGTGGGGGGTCTGTCATATGCTAATATCGTTTCTCTCGGTATCCAAGTCATGGCAATACAATAATTGATGCCTGCCATTTGGTTTATCCTAGGCCTGTTTTATATAGGTTTTTCCTGATTTCAATTTATTGTGCATTGCAGAACTTTTGTTCGAGGAAAGATACCATTTTTTGTGGAGTTTTTGATGGCCACGGTCCGTTTGGTCATATGGTTGCCAAAAGAGTCAGGGATTCTCTTCCCCTAAAACTGAGTTCACACTGGGAACTGAATGCAGCTGGTGGAGAAGTCCTCAAGGAGATTAGCATTAATACTACGGGGATTATGAACTCAGAAGAGGCTGCCTTTGTATCTGCTGATGAGGAATCCAGGACATCCATTGATTCTGAGGAAATGGAAAAGCACCCTGAGATCTTTCGAACGCTTAAAGAGTCATTTTTGAGGGCATTTAAGGTTATGGACCGTGAATTGAAGATGCATCCAAGTATTGACTGCTTTTGCAGTGGGACTACAGCAGTGACTCTAGTTAAGCAAGTAAGGGCTAGTAACCTTAGTAATGTTGACAGTTATCTTATGCATGCTATGGCTTTGGTCATGTAATCATTTATTTTAAGAATGATATGGTTTTCATTGTAGGGTCTCGACCTTGTTATTGGAAATGTTGGTGACTCTAGAGCTGTGCTGGGTACGAGAGACAAAGATGATTCTCTCACAGCCGTTCAATTAACAGTTGATCTGAAACCCAGTCTTCCAGGTTTGTCTCTTCTGACTAATTCTTGTCTTTTTTTTCCCTCTTTGACGGGGACTTAAATCAGGTGAATGAAGTTATTATCATATTTTACCTTTGGAGTTCAAATGCGTATGAAGTTATTGCTTACTACATGATCTGTCCTGAGTATGTGACAGAAAGGCAGATTGGACAAACCTGTTCTAGATCTGTATTTTGAGAAAGTAATGTAGTTGTCCCAGGTCCCTCTTATTATCATGCCAGGTATCGCTTCAAAAGTCTATCACACACAATGAAGTAGTTGAAACCAGCCAATTATTGACATTATGTTTATATGATAAGTTTGACCTGACTGTTATCACCTGCCATTATCATTGATACAGTTGATGGAAGCTATGCTTTGTCAATAATGGCAGCATAAATAGCAAGGCAGAAGCAGACCCTGAAATGAGGCTTGCGCATAATAGATTTTGGTGATAACTGTTAGGGATATTTGTTGAACTAATGTTGGGCATCACTTAACAATTCAAAATTGAGTTAAGTTGTTGACATGGAATTAGGGTCTCGATAACAACTAGTCAGAGGTGTTTGATCCTTTCATGATTCATCCCCCATTCTTTGTATTAAAATTATGTTTTAGCACAATGAATATAAGTGCGTGACAAGTCCATGCTTCAAGCCCTTGGGTTAATTGTACGGGAGGGCATACTACAGATGTTAATGAAGCCAATCCCGGGCATACTTGATAGCTTAATTTTTTGGGTTGAAATAGTTCCTGATGGCAGCCTTTACAATACTGGCTACATAGTTATGAGTACCTGATTGGTAATTTTGCTTTAAATAACACCGAACTGGGCCTTAAATTGAAAAGGCATGACGTCTGTTCGGGCAGTGGATACATAATGCTTGATTGACTGTGGAAATTGTTGAGTTAGTTGTTGTTACTGTTATGTGACTAAGAAATTTATGTGGGTCCATAAATGTATTTGGGGTGAACTTGTGATTGAAGAACACAGATTGCCATCTTCACTATTGCATTATAGTTCTTTAGTCCCTGTGAACGTTGGATTAAAGATTGGCTGTTCCATTTTCATGTTTCATATCTCGCACGTGTTCTGAAACATAAATTTACTGTTTGATTTCTCTTGGTGTGTAATCTGAGAGAAATAAAATATTTTAGCAGTGCATAAGTGCAAATTTGGTTGACATGATGCCTGCATTATTGGCTTGTCTTAAATAATGCCAAGGACATGAATTCTTTGAGACTTGCTCATGATCACTAATAAAATACTATTGTCTGTTGGTTTGAGATTGTAGTCTGCGGAATTCTTATCTTAATGGTCAGTTTTATTGCGAGATCCTTGTTGAATCTTATAGTAAGCCTTACCTTATGTCCTTTTCTCTTGAACAGCTGAAGCAGAGAGAATTCGCAAATGTAAAGGGCGTGTTTTTGCTCTTCAAGATGAACCTGAGGTTGCCCGAGTCTGGTTGCCCAACAATGATTCCCCTGGCCTAGCCATGGCCAGGGCATTTGGAGATTTTTGTCTGAAAGATTTTGGGCTAATTTCTGTTCCAGAAATATCCTATCGACGCCTCACTGAGAAGGATGAATTTGTTGTCTTGGCAACAGATGGGGTAGGAGACATTTTTGAAATTTCGATTGCCAACGAATGCCTTATTTTGTCTAATATAATTTGACGTCTCCTTACTTCTGATTTAATTTCAAGTTTGTTGATCTAATTTTGGCAGATTTGGGATGTACTCTCAAACAAAGAAGTTGTTGACATCATAGCAGCATCACCGGCACGTTCTTCTGCAGCCAGAGCGCTGGTTGAGTCAGCAGTTCGAGCTTGGAGATATAAATACCCTACTTCTAAGGTGGATGACTGCGCTGTTGTTTGCCTCTTCCTTGACTCTGACTCGCCAAAATTATCTAGTGCATCTCATATCAATTCTAAAGAGCAGCGTAGTCTAGGAAATCAAATCGACCCAGACGGTGGGGAAGATCTTTCTGGACCAACTGTCCTTGAAAGGTCAGGCACTTGCCGGGCAAGCAATGAAAAGTCACTGGGAGAAAGTAATGAAGAAGAGCCAAAGGAGACAGATGCCGAGTTAGAAAAAGAGTGGTCTGCTCTTGAAGGAGTTTCTCGTGTAGACACACTATTAAATCTCCCAAGATTCGTCCCTGGTGAAGAAGACGACAAGGCCACGGCTGGGATGAGGAGACGCAGATGATTTAATTTGCCCTTCTATTTCTTTCAATCATTATACATACATACATACAGACAGACATACATTTTTCCTAATTTTATTTCACCATAAACCTTGTTTTCAGCCATTGATGATTTTTGTCTTGAATTTTTGGATTGGACACTGGAGAGGAGGACCGGGCCATATTAGTGTGTCTGGAAATCTATCCTTTCTCGGTTGTGTGGAAAATTATAAATTATAAATTTTGTATGATTGAAATCTTCGTTAATTTATTCTTCAAGATATTCGGCAACTTCTGATATAATTGATTGTTTCCTTTCGTTATCATTACTTCATTACAGCTGACAACTAAATAATGAAAATGACGGGAACAGCGAGCATTCGTCTCAGACTTTACGTCCTCAATACGGGCATGTGGTGTGGGTAGTGCCCGCAGCAGGCTTATGCTTATGGCATGGAAAAGATGCAGGTGTTTTCAACTTGGTCCATTTCTATTCCCGTTTTAGCCGTAACTAGAACTTTTTGAAGATTGGCAAGACCAGTTCTGCTTGTCTGGCCTGTACTAAAACTTATCCGGAGGGCTTTTTTCTGTTTGTTTTGTTTCGTCTCTCTTCCTTGCCCTGAAAACCAATTCAGCTCCAACATAAATCAGGCATGTATTTTTCAAAAATTGAGAGGGGATTGGTTGCATTATTTATTGTCCGCTTCATTTTGAAAAAGATAACGTTCAGATTGATTGTCCCGCCAATCGATGGCCAATGGATGTTGACGTGCAGTGGCCGGGCACCGACTGAGTTTCATTTGCTGCGTGTACTTGGAACAACCAAGAGAGATATCTGGCGTAAAGTTTAATTATTAGTAGCATTTTCTTATCCTAGTGTTTTCAAACTTAAAAAACAGGTTATTTTTGTCTGAAATTTTAAATTAGACTTTTCATTCTTATTCCTGTTAAATATATGCCACTTATCGTTCCACCATAATAAATTTTTACGCATTATATCTCATATTTTTTTACAAATAAAAATATAATTAAAAAATATGTATATATCTTACATGTTTATTATTTTTTCAAACTAAATTTAACTTTTAAAAACACATTGTTTTTATAGTTTTTTTTTTATAATAAGAAAGGGAGGGAGTAGTAAATTACTCAACAAGTGGTTGAGGGTCATCAACAGTTTCTTGTATCCATTCAATGGACGCTGGTGCCATAAAGCATGTATAAAAGTGTTTTTTTTTTTTTTCATTTTTCGCCAAAATGTATAAAAGGTAAATGAATCAACGAGGAATCGATCCACCAGCCGTATAATAATGATTAACGAAGGTAAATGGTTACTGGTCAGGTAATAGGTTCTCGAGGTGACTAGTATTTAAAAAAAAAATTATTCGACTTTTATAATATGATACTAGTAATTCTTTTATTTATGTAGTTTTCAAATAAGCTTGTTAATTTTTTTTTGAATAAATACTGGATACAGAAACCTCAGAAACAAGGCAAAGCAGAAAACTAAAAGGGAAAATTTCGTTCAAGGACCGCAGTACAGAATTAATTTCAAAGAACCCCCAAAACTTTCTGAAATTTCACTGCAGGACCAAGGGGGCAAACTGATATTAATTCCACAAAGAAAATAACCCTATTGCCCCTCATGTGAACAAGTATGGGAGAACCCATTTGCAAGTGAGGTTAGATAATTTACAACATGCATAGATATATTTACAATTAAAATTAGTCCATTTACATATTACCTTCTTCACCTGAAGAATGTGTCTGAGTGAATAAGTGTGGGACAGCTCATTTGCAAGTGGGACTAGACAATTTGCAACATACATATATTTATTTACAACTGGAATTAGTCCATTTACATGTCACTTCCTTTACCTGAAAAAGGTCTCCGTGAGTGAACAAGTGTGGGAGCGCCCATTTGCAAGTGGGATTAGTCAATTTGCAACATACATACATTTATTTACAATTAGAATTAGTCCATTTACATATCACCTCATTCACCTGAAAAAGGTGCCTGTGAGTGAATAAGTGTGAGAGAGCCCATTTGCAAGTGGGATTAGTCAATTTGCAACATACATACCTTTATTTACAACTGAAATTAGTCCATTTACATGTCACCCTGCAATAAGTATTATGAGGGGCAATAGCGTCATTTTCTTTGTGGAATTAATATCAGTTTGCCCCCTTGGTCCTGCAGTGAAGTTTCAGAAAGTTTTGGGGGCTCTTTGAAATTAATTGTCTTCTACGGTCCTACAGTGAAATTTTCCCAAACTAAAATCTACAAAAAGAAAAACATCCTCAAGGTAAAGTCTAACCAACACTCCCCTCCCACCCCCTATTGGATAAATAAGTGGAGGATGATCATGAATGTGCAAGTTTTGTTAAATGATGGGCTGTAAACATGTTGGAAGACTATTTGCCAATCCTTGTGCAAACGAAGCGTGGTGTCCTTACTCCTCAATGATGTCCTTGAAAGGAGTAGCTCATCACATCCTCGAGTTCTGGGAAAAAAACAAAAGGTAGAGATAAATTGTTGTTTTTACATGACAAATATATTGACGAAAACAAAACATGTATTTTTAACTTGCACTGGTCAAAAGAGATACATGCCGTAATTATAAAATGGAATTAGTTGTTATCCATATTTTAGAATATGTTGCTTAAATTTTAAATTATATGGTTCAAAAATTGTAAAATTCTGTGTGTTATTGTTTAAATTTTAATTTATGTGAAATAAAAATTTTAAAATAAAAAATAGCTTTTAACTAATTAAAATTAATCCAATTTGATAATGAGTTGACTTATAATCCATAATGTTGAAAGTTATAAAAATCCAATTTACCTAAATTTTTTACATAAATAAAATATTCTAAAAAAAATTATGTGGGAAGAAAACAAGTAGATAACGTACGTGAGTTATACAACATGAAGTAAATAAATTTTAAAATAAAAAAATTAACAACAGAATTAAAATAAAGTAAAACATGAGTTTTAGATTTTTTATTTGTGTAAATACAAGAATTTATGGAATACAATAAATTGTCTATATTTGAGCATAATTAGGGCTATCAAATTCTAAAATAAAATAAGTGACTGCTCACACAAACAAATTGTCATGTATCTTTCACCTTTTAAAATCTACAAAATGCACAAAATTTTTTTAAAAAAAGTAATTATACTTACTTTTAATTAAATGTACAATATTATTTTACACTTTTTAAACATTATTTTTATAAGTTCATTATTTATTAAATTTTTCTTTTTATAAACGAGAAAATTAATTCTTAAGTTCTTATATTTTCATCTAATTTTTAACCAAGTTTTTTCAGTTTTTTAGAGAGATTCCACATAAAAAAATTTAAAATTACTAAATCCTCAATAAAAAATTCCTACAATTTTTTTATTTGAATAATTTAAAGACAGTAATAAAGTTTTGAAATTATTTTAAAATATTTATATTTATCATTTTTGAACTAATTTGTCTTACTCATAAGTTGATATATAATCTAATAATATACATAATTATTTTAAAAACATTATATATTATATAATAAATATTATAATTAAATAATTTAGTAATTTTTTTAATCTCTTTAAATTTAATAATAGTCAACAAAAGAGCTATAATTGCAAAATCTTGTCCGGTAATCCAGAGGAGGGTCGGGGATAAAAGAGAGCCTCTAGTTCTAATGTTGGAACTTGGAAGCAAACGTAATCCGATTACGAGATATCTCTGGCTCTGTGGTAGGCAGCGGAATGAACAGAAATGGCTGCCACTCTTTCTTCCTGTGTCGCCGCCCTCTGCCACCCCTCCAACTCCAAGAACTGTAGGGCTCCCTTTTTCCTCCCTCACAATCATAACCACTCCTTTTTATTGCGAGGTTTCGCCTCTCTACTTTCTTCCACACACGCATGCAATAAATAAATAGAACACTTGCCTGAACTTTAGAGAACGATTTCCTTGCAGTTGCGAATGATGCCGATAAGATTGTTGATGGGATCGACTTCGGTGAACTATGCAATGACTTTGAGTGCATCAGCAGCCCCTTGGTAGAATCCACAGCAAGACAACTTGCTCGCGATATACTTGAGCTTCGGGATGATAACAGAGCTTTTGCAACCTTGGCTATTTCCGTCAAATACAGGGTACTCTGTTTATTTCCATTCTCTTCAATTCATTCATGCATCCCATAATTGTGGTCGCTGAGATTCTTCCTAGTCTACAGGATCCCTTGAGGAGCTTTATCGGTCGCGACAAGTACAAAAGACCGCTGTGGGCTAGGGATGCCCTGAACAATCCCTCTGTGGTTAGTCTAGTGTTCTTGCTCGAGTCATCCAGCTACCTTTGACTTCGAATAAGTTTTAGTTTTTCTTCTTTTTTAATTTTATTTTGGTTTCAGAGTGTGCAGGAAATGGTGATGCTGTCGATCAGTGTGCTCTCTATCAAGTGGACAATTAGAGGGAAGCCTAAAGCTTTAATCGGCGGAATAGCGGGGGATCTGATCCTCCGAGTTACTTCCCGCTTTACTCTCAACCAAATTAGTGGTCAGGTCATTGAGCATGAAGAATCCTGGGATTTATCTAACTCGTCCGCTGTTGCCCGGGCATTTTTCTGGACATCCCGCGCACTTTTGGCTGCTCGAGAGTCTGGAAAAGATTTGGTTGATATTGCCAAAGATGTAAGTGGCCGTCTTCCAACAAAGAAAGACAACTCGGAGACTGATCCCAATACATCACCTGATCCAACTAAGGTGACTTTTTCTACATCAACCAACTAAATCACTCATTTTTTGAAGCTCATTGTCTACGTTTTAACCTGACGCAACCAGAAATGTTTTTCAGTTCTTCCAGAGGGACGACAGCTTTGAGCGAGACGCATACCAGCTCGCACTATTTCTGGCAGTTCTTTATATTCTTGTTCAATTTCTGAGGACAGCTTTGTGAAGTCTGCCTTGTCAAGTCTACTCTATTCCACAAATTATCACAATATTATATATTGCAGGCCCACATTCCTGAGATTTACAGTTGCCAAATCTATGTCACCCAAGACAGATACACCCAATTAAACAAGTGCAACGGCCGAACCAGCAGGGTAAAGAATGAAAACGCTTAAATGTTCTTGGGATTCTACTTACAATACAGTCAGACCAAATGAATGCCATCCCTTCAAATTAAAAACTAGTTAAATAAATTTAGCATGGTCATTAGTAATACAAAGAACGTCAATATTCTTCCGATTGACAGGGTGGAAATTGAAGATATATTGTGTGCGCCGACTGTATACACTGCTCCAGTTGTTTCGTCCTTCACTTTAATGCTAGAAGAGCCTAAGTAACAATAACAAAAGGCTAAAAAGTTTTAAAAAAAGAGGTCATTTTAGCAGACGCAAACCCTAAAAACAATAGTTGTTTCGGACGAGAGTCATGATAGCTACAGCAAATGCAGAAAATGATTGGCAAAGCTCACCTAAATAGGCTGACCCTAATTAATCTTATCTTGTCCATTTTATTTCACAATTTGTGAGAAATTTAAGATACTCCTGATATATTTGTACTTGCAACCTCGCATACTTGATCTTTCCCTTATAATTTGATCATGTTGGTCTATCCTGTCTAGTTGATATGCTGATATATCTGTTATTAGTTTGAGGAACAACGATCAAATTACAACAAAGATCTAACTCAAGCTAAAAATTCTGGTATCATCGACAAGCCAAAAGGGAACTGTTCAGAGAAATCTCCTAAGGTGGCAGAAAATAAATTACTCCTCCAGTCCTAATCATTTTGTACTGTAATTTACACTATACAATAGGTCTTATATTTAGGACCGGGAGAGTATAATACTTGTGCGCATAAATTAACTACTAATACTAATGAACTTATATATAAAATCTGAAATGCCGCCAACAAAATTATTGATAATATTAAATTCACTAGCATGGCATGAGCTGCGAAGGATATTGATCTCAATAAAGAGAACTAAAAGAAAGATCTAGGTTGATCTAAACTTAAATGAATAAGGGATATTCATAGGCTACCCTACGCTAAGGATCTGCTTAAACTTAACAAATGATTTTAAGTTAAACGTGAGAGATTTGATCGTTTAAAAATATCCGCTTTCAGAAAAACTGATTACCACCTGATTAACTTTTTTTTTATAAAAAAAATCACTTTATTAAAAAGTGCTTCTTCTTCTTCTTTTTTAAATTTCCTTTATTGTTGAAAGACCGTATGAGTAGAGCTAAGGAACCATAACTCTTTTGAACAATTTGAAAATTACATTTTTATCTAAGCTTAAACAAACAAGGCCCAAATCAGAACATAATAAAGGAAACTGAAAATTTGCTTGAAGATCATTTAATTTGTTACTCACAATTGAATTCCGTCCATCCAATGGCCATATTTTCAAGATCATATACGACGAGTCTATTTGAAAGAACCAAATCTGTAATCAGAAACAATGCAAGAAGAAAAAAATTAACACCCAAACCACGTCACACTCTTCCGCAACTTACAAATCACTAGGTAAAATTTGTTCGTGACATTTAATTCTACACTGTACCTCCAAGAAGAGTCATATCCTTTCCGTCCTTAGTTTGTGCCACACTCCTCTGCCACCCAAAACACCATACATTGTCCTGCGGCACAATTAAGGACAGAATCAAATCAAAGGACATTAGTAAAATCAGAGGCAAACTACCCTCCCCTCTCAGGAGTTATGTCTTGGTTATGCTGTCTTCCTCTCTACCATGAGCATATAAACAATCTCTCCTTAAAGCATCCATTTGACCAACGACCAACATAAACTCCAGGATAAAATTTATTTCATTTATACGGAATTAAAATTTAAAAAATTATGTTATTTGGTGTTCCCATGGTATCGTGGAACTTAAATATTATAAATTATCTTTTAATTGGATTAAATTCTTAAAAGAAGTTATTTTTAAAATATTTTTTCTTTAAAAACGTATTTAATATCATGAAATTTTAAACTCTCTCACGTTTAGAAAAGTCATTATTTTATATTGACCAAAGTCATATTTAATGCCTGTGACACCTATAAGAAGTGGATATTGTGATATTTTCATCAAAATGAGGGTAATTGTTGCTTATTTTATTTATTTATTTATTTACTTTATTTTAGTGGATCTATGGGTGTATACTTGCAATAGATATAATAATCATTTAATTAAACATCAATTAGAGAGGAAAAGTGTTTCACCTTTAAACAATATATTAACACATGATCAACTATTAACTAAATGCAAAAAATGTATCTATGCTCCCTTGCATAACCAGGCCAGATCACGGAGAAATAGACAATGAATGATAAGGTTCCCACTTACATTTTCACCCCACAAAAAAAAAGGGCACAAAAACAAAAGAAAAAAGTTCCCACTTACATGAATCTGGAAGAGGTAGTCATGTGGATAAACTGTCAGAGAAACAGATCCCTCAAAATGAAACTTGACGATTGGAAATCCATCATCAACACTACAGGAGTACGATGAACAAGTAAAGGTCTGGAATCTGGATAGCAATTTTGCCTCCTCCAACTAGTTAGCAAGGGAAAAGCTTATACTATTGCAATGTTACCAGCATATCATTCAAATAACAATCCATGCACAGCTACAATTTTTTTTAAAAGAAAGCCATCTTAGAAATGATTTTTCATCATTTTTTCCTGTATATGTGGCAACAAGAAAATCGGATAATTCTCAGAATGTAACCATATACAACAAGCTCAATAGTTACTTCCCAAAGAAAGAAAACATGGTAAAGTAATTGAGAAGCTCAAAATGGAAATGATAGGCCCCAAGAAGTGAGATCGCAGAATAAATTTTCAAGAACCTGCTTGCAAATTCCAATTTTTCTGTTAACAGAAATCACATAAGATCAGGTGTCTCAAATAATCTCAGACTTCACTTCAACAAGAACCTAATTAATGAAATCCAGGCCAACAAATTGCTCTATGACACAGCTCAATTCATGTCAACGTCAATAGCTTAAGACTTAAGAACAGCCTCTGTTGTTTTGGCTGAATGTGACTGACTTGGCTCATCCACTTATGTAACTTCACTAGTACCATGAATCATATCATTGAAAACCATGATATGTGAGCAAGTGTTATTCCAATGGCAACCTGGCAACATCAAAGTGACATGGAGAAAGAGAGAAAAGCAAGGCCCATGCTAAATTCATATACGACAGAAAAAGAATAGGGGCCAGGAGAGTAGTGAGCAACTGAGCATGAGGACGCAGAAGGAGGGGCAGAAATGGAAATTCCAAGTAAAAATTAACTGTTGCATGTGAGTTGCGAGGTGGGGTGTGGAGAGAGGAAAATTGAGAGGAGAGTCTTTTGTGGTGATCAGTGCCTACGAAGTTTGGGAAGAATTTTGAAAATTTGGGACCATATTTTTTTTTTCTTTCCATATTTTGCTTTACACTCTGTACTGATATCTGGTCATTCCTTCCATCTAGCAGTAGCTCAACATATGCTAGCAAAATCTGAGCTTCGAAAGTTCCACCACACACACAACGGACCAAAGGACCAAGAGAATGAAGCACAGTCTATCAAATAAGTCATGCCATGTCCTTTGTCTCAATGAAACCAACAATGATCAGGGACAAAGAGAGGAAGAGACACTACACCTTAATATCCATAAATAGTAACTAAAATTATTCAGTAATAGATGGAAAATATAATAATGTCCCATCTACCCGTATGAAGCAAAAGGATGTCGCAAGGATTAGTATCATACTTTCCAGTATACTGAAAACAAGTGAACTGATCCTCGACCAGATGTAATTTCAGCCCAGGCTGCTGAGCCATAACCTAATATTAAGAACAATCATGAGCATCAAAGCAAAATGATTGATTCAATTCAAGTTTGAAAGGTGCACTTACCTTGGTCATTAATTGATCATAAACTGTATCAGGAAGATAAGCCAAAGTTGTGCCACTATCTATTACTGTTCCCCTCCCATTTCCAGAATCAAATATATCTGTGGGAAGCTGTAAAACTTCCCTATCAACCTCAATATCCTTCAAATTCACATTGTAGTGTGCCCTAAAATAGTTGATACAATTGTCACCCAAAAAATAAAACAAAAGAGTTGATACACTACAGTCATTACATCATTCTGAATCCAACACCTGAACTCAACATGTACATTCCAATAGAGTAAAATGAAGAAAATGTGTAATATGCTACATATCTTAAAAAGAAAAATAGAGATAAAATTTCATTGCAGTTGCATGACTCCTGAGTTTATATGTGCATTCATTTTCCTTGAGGCCTTGGGTATGGATAGAATCTCAGGCTTTTTTTTTTTTTAATTTTAATTTGGGGTTTTTTTTTGGGGGGGGGGGTGGTGTGTTGTGCGGTGCGGCAAGACACATGCCAGGGAAGGCAAAATGGACTAGGGATACTCTTGAGGCATCATATATTTGGAAGAAGAGAGGTCCAGCCCAACAAGTAGAAGAATCAACTAGGGCAGGGGAAGGAAAGCAAGGGCTTATGACGCTAACAACCTGTCAGTGGTATATACGGGAGGTTATGTGAGACAAAAGGGAGGTGCAACAGATGACAGCAAGGGTGTGGTATTGTGAGGGAGAGTACCCATTAGGGAAATGAAAGGAAAGGGAGGGGAGAGAAAATTTAATGAGTTCGATTTAAAAAATTGAAAAAGTGGGGTTTTAAAATTTTAATAAAGAGAAGAAGTAATATAAAAGAGTAATAAAAATTTAATAAAGAGAAGAAGTAATATAAAAGAGTAATAAAAATTAATTAAAAACTTTTAACCCCACTTCTCCAATTTTTTGAATAGAGCTTATTAAAATTTTTCCTCTCCTTTCCTCCCCTTCATCTCCCTCATACCAAACAGTACCTAGGTCATGGTGGAGGGAGGTTTCTTATTTCCATAATTTTCTTTCAGCTTGAGTGTTTTCTTGCTGTTTTTGTACTTAGTCTGTGAGTCTGATTTTGGATTTAATATGATTCTAGTGTTGAACTTTCATCGGTTGATATAGGTATCAGAGCCGCTATAGTATTGGATATGGTCAATAATCAGATGGAGGGCAGGCTCAATAATTCTAAGCATTCGATCAAAGAGATTCAAAGGAAGCAAGAAGAACACTCTGATGGGGTTATAGCAGTCAAACTGATGTAAAATGGGAAGAGGGAAAAAGAAGGAAAGAGATAAAAAAGAGTAGAGAAGGGGAAATAGAGAACGGAGAAGAGGAAACAAGCCGAGAAAAAACGATAACTACAATATCATTCAATAATCAAGTTTGCTGTCTAATAAGAAACCTAAAATAATAATAAAAATGAAAATAACAACAACAACAACTAATCCTAATCATAAAATAATAAAACACTGACAATCTAAATAAATCCTAAAAATCTAACTAATCTAAATATCCTAGATAATTCAAATATTCTAGAAGTATAATAAAATCATAATTATTTCTTTTCATATCTCATCATTTCCCCCTCGCTTGAAGAACTCAGCTCCAGACGAGTTAAAAGTGATGCGCAAAGCTAGGGAGATAGGGGTGGGATAAGATTTCGACATGATGCTTCAATCTGGAAATCCCTTCCAACAGGTGAGGTGCCAGAAAAGGAAACCATGGCATGAGTGAGTAGTTAGACCTTGGAGAGCATTTGGAAAACCTCTCCAATAGACAAAATACTGTTGAAAAAATTCATTTAGCAACAGGGTAACCTTAGGAGGTGCAACTTTCAGATAAGGTGGCATTTTACAATGATGAAAGTGATTCTTGCTGGCCACAATCTGAGAAGAAACCACGTTGTTTGCCAGTTGGACAATTGGACCATCCCTTGCAGAATTATTGTCGCTAATGATAACAAGATTAGAGGCCTCACTTACTTCAGTCATAAACGGGTCCAATGGTGCATGTCGAGTAATGAACTCCAGATGAGTTGAAGGTGCCACTTCAATTAGATTGACAATATTTTGTTTTCGCGTCTAATGAAGGAGCTTTGACCTTTATTGGCTTGGTTATTTGGAGAGCCTCTTCCATTTGATTTTCTGACTTATTGATTCCCTCATCAACTCTCTTTTCAAACTTATCGAACGCATCATCACATGCTTGCTTCCAGCAATCAAGTTTTGATTCAAATTGTTCTATTTGCACGTTGCAATCAAGTTATCGTTGCACGACATGCTCATAACAGTAATGATATTTAGGATCAACATAGTAGTGAGCAATGTAATCATCACAATCAGCATGTTCATAACGAACCCGGTTGGCATACCAATAACAGTGAGTAGCATATATGGTATAGTCATGATCAGCATCCCTATATAGAGTGTCATATACATCGTGATGCTTCCTATAAGGGCATTCTCTAGAACTCATACTTAGAACTAAGTAGCATGACAATCTTTTTCTTGCTCTCCCTCTTTTTTTTTAATTTCCTTTTCCTCCTTTCCCCCCCTTAAAATTCTAAAGAAATTAAATATTTTAGATAAATATCAATAAAAGAAGCTGAAAATCTTAAAAATTCACCTCAACGGTGCTCTTATGATTCTCCTTGGTTTTTGGAAAGGCTAACTTGGAAAACGGTGAAATCTGGGTTGAAAGTGTAATTTTTGCAAAAGTTTATCTAAAAATCTGGGTCCAAAAGTGTAATTTTAGCAAAAACACTTCTGGTGCAAATAGTGGCGAAGGCATGTGGATTCATGTGTTGGAACTTCCAACGGCGTGTGGAGGCGCTTGCATTGGTCAATGGCAGAGATATTGGTGTGGTTGAGCCGAGTTCCTCGATACGCACACATTACTGATGGTCTCGTTATGATCAAATGTAGGAAGAGTGGTGATCAGTGGTAGACAGTGGCGGCAACGTGAAAATCTAACACAGCAAAGGATGGGCGGTGCGTGATGCAAGTTTCGATGGTCTTTGGTTGCGAAAATGTAGGGTTTGTTTACACTAGTGAATCTGATGGCGATGGCGGTGTGGTGAGATGATGACAAAGAAAGGCTAGACGGAGGTTGATGACAGCAGTTATAAAGGAGTTTGAAGGGAGGATGTGTTTGGTAGTTCAGGAAAAAGAATTTAGGCACAGGAAAGGAGATTGCAATCTAACTCTGATACCAAATTGATGTAAAACGGGAAGAGGGAAGAAGGAAAAAGATCAAAAAGAACAGAGAAGGAGAAATAGAGAATAGAAAAGAGAAAACAAGACGAGAGAAAACAATAACTGCAATATCATTCAATAATCAAGTCTGCCGTCTATTGAGGAACCTAGAATTACTTATACTAAAATAAAAATAAAACTGAAAATAATAACAACAACAACTGATCATAATAATAAAATAATAAAATACTGAAAAATCTAAATAAATCCTAAAAATCTAACTAATCTAAATATTCTAGATAATTTAAATATTCTAGAAATATAATAAAATCATAATTATTTCTTTTCATATCCCATCACAAACTTTCACACATTGAACTCAAGAGCAATTGGGCAATTTTTGAGCTACCTTCAATGTTGTTAAGCAGGATCAAGCACCTAAGACAGAGCTTCAAATCACACCAACAGGGCCAGACAAGTTGACACAAGCAGGTGAAAATGAGGAGAATGGGAAAAACAACACCAAGCAAAATGATGCTAGGAAGTTTCCAAGACTTGAGCTCCATTTATTTTTTGGGAGAGGGTCTTGTAAGCTAGCTGTTCAAGGTGGCAAAATTTTCAATTAATAGGGTCACCACGAAAGAGTGAAGTTCTTATGCTATAGAGGAGAGGAAGTCCGGCTCCAAGATAGCAAAAAGTGGAGGAGGAGGAAATTGTATGAAACCACAGCTCAAACTTTTCAAGATCCTTGTATTGATTATCCTAAATGACTAGAGTATTTCACTAACGACAAAACAACTAGTACTAAAAGTGCAGAAGAAACCAAGGGCACCACAAGTAAGATTACCATCCCAAAACCTACTCCAGCTAGCAGCAGTGGTAGTAACACCACTAGAAAGAGGTTGTCTAAGGCTAAAATCAATAAGAGGAGGAGCAGGAAATGAGGGGAAAAGATGGAGCTGGAAATGGAGTTATTCAAGACCAATTCCCTCCTTCTCACCTTGACAACCTGTAGGGCAAGACATGCGTTAGGAGAGGCAAAATGTGCTCTAAGGGAGGAGATAATCTTAAGAGATATGTTAGGAAGAAGAGAGGTCCAGCCCAACAAGTGGATGAACCAGACAAGGAAGGGGGTTAAGAAAGCAAGGTCTAGGGAGGTTAACTGTAACATCCCAATTTTATTCCTAGAATTTAAGTAACATTAGGATGAAATAATTACATGGTAAGTGTTATAATATATTATTTTGAAAAAAATACTTTAAATACTTCTATCTAATCCCGGCTAACTATATTAATTTTCTCTTTAGAAAATTTAATTCCATTTTGAGCAAATACTTCTTACTCAAATAACTACATGGGACATTCCAATTACCATGGAATAATCTCATCCTAAAATTACTTAAACCCTAGGAACAAAATTGGGATGTTACACTAAAAACCTAGTCAATAGTGAAACTGAGAGGAGGGTACATGAGGCAAAAGGGAGGCATCAAAGAGAACAACCGAAGTGTTTAACAAAACACACACACACACACACACAACTGTTGTCTGTTAGAGAGAGTGCCTAGTCTCTTGAACACCGAGTCTAGTTGAAGGAGGCTTCTTCCTTTCATTATTTTCTTTTTCCACTTTAAGTGTTTTCTTGTTGTTACCATGCTTAGCTTGTGGGAGCGTGATTTCATTGATAACAGCATCCTTTATTGCTAGTGTATGAGTTCCCCCCCCCCCACCCAAATCACAGTATCGTCTCCCTCCATAGAAGATGAGAGTATTTTGCATTTAATATAATACCAGAGTTGGCTCATCATCAAGTATATAATGAATAATCAATCTATCAATAGCATTTGGTAGTAGCAGAGTTCATAAACTTCTTCAGGAAAATAATGTGTACAAAACCTAAAACGTAGATGTTCTTAATGTTAAACAATGTCCAAACGCGAAACAATGGTAGAATGAACCTAAATTTCATAATCATCAAATAGATAGCGTCGTTTTGCTGCAAGTTACTGATACCAATTAATGACAACTTATTGATCAAACGTACAAGAAATATCATGGCAATGGAAACAAAAAAAGCCAACATACTACACATACTGTCCAGAAACCAAAGGTGTTGTGTTGACTTTTGGCTCCACCACTTCCCCTAGGGCAAAGATTCCACCTCCATGAACATTATCAAGGCAGTGTGAAAATATTTTTTTCACCTTCCCAGATGCAGCAAGCTGTGAAAGCACAGACGAATTAGCTTGACCAAAACCAAGTATTCCATCAAGAGCTTCATTAGCTGACCCTAATGCCCCAGATTGTTTAGCACCGCACCTATCAAGAAAACAAAACTTCAGAAGTCAGAACAAATCAAGAAAAGCATTCAAATATAATAGTGACCTTTTCTTATATTTGTTTATCCATTTACAAAGCTAAGTATGTCGTGACATTAAAAAAATAAACAGATAGCTCCTACCTCGTACAATAGGAACAGCCATGACGAAAACATAGTATATGAGGGTTACGGTCAACTAAAGGGGATGAAAAACTGTATAGGAAGATCTTATGCATTTTTGTTTTTCTCACCACAATATCTTTTGCATGTGAAATTGAGGATGGAACGGTTTTTGAGCAGAGGGCTGGCAGATTTCAGTTAGAGAAATCTCTAGGAGGATGTGAGGGAGTTTGAAATTGGCATCAACAAAATTAGAAAGGTATGTAAAGGTGCAAGTACACTTTGTACTTTGACAAAACATACTAAGTATGAAAAATCCGAGGATTGAATTTTTCATAGCTTGACTTGGGGTTCCTGTCATTGGCCTCAGTTATTTAGAAACGAATGACATTGGACAAGACATAGTTTAAGATTAAGAACACGTGGCAGATGTCAACATTGTATGACTATAAAGGAAAATACTTCTCTGGTTCTCACCCAAAAATCACCGTGCTATTTCCTGGAGAACTATGAAGGTTACCATTGACCTGGTTGAATGTAAGATAATCCTTCACAAAGTACCCAGTTGTGGAGCTTCCATCTCCATAAGTTACACTATATGGGCAGGGCACATCAGACTTGCAACCCGCAATTGGACCATCATATGTGTCAGAGCAAAAATCTTCCGCGCAAGAAACAAGATCTGCAGTTTTGGAGCCCTTTGGGTCGTATAGTGTCAACTCTATCTGCAATACAGCAATACCACTTTGAAAAGGGTCCAACATAACTTGAAATGTATATGATACCAAGAAAGTCTGTCTGAAGTCTGAAAAAGCATGCATGAAATGTCATACAACCACAATGCTTTCATTCACCGGAAAAAAGAAAAAGAAAAAGGAAAGAGTAAAATGTAGATACATACTCCAAGATCACTTTTCCTTGGACATCTCATGCAGTCAACACAATTAACCCATAGGATGTCACTTCCAGTATCAACTTGCACATAGTAGTCTTTTGGAGGAGACCCGAGCCCAAGTTTCGTATAATACAGCCTATAATCAATAAGCATCCACATCAAGATGACAATAGTTTTCCACAGAGATTAAATCACCAAATTACTTCAGAAACCCCCCCCCCCCAACAACACAAACAATAATAATAATAATAAAATAAAACAAAGATAGCTGCAATGAGCGTATGAGGCCCACCCATCTTAGCCAAAATCTTATCTGAGATCAAAAACAGACACAAGAATAAGACCCCATGTATGCGAAATCAAGGATGAGTCTCCAAGTACTTAATCGAAGTAAAAATAGAACTTTGCAGCCAATTAAATCAAACAGATAGGAAAATGGGGGGGAAAAAAGAACCAGCTCAGATATGACCCTTGGGCATAAAAAAGGAATAAAGAGTAGAATCGATCGAGAAATAAACCCTGTTTCAGAAGGTTGTCCATTGCCGCCAAGGTTCAGATCCACAGCCGAAAGATATCTACCTCGACGACGAACATCATGAGCTTTCATAGCACTCAAAATATTTTCCCGGTCTTTGAATTTGTGGCGGACAGGAAACACCAAATTGCCGTGGGCAAACCAGCAAAATTCAAAAACGAATATACCAACTACCAGTGATCCTCTAAGATCCATTTTCATGAGCAATAAATCTTGGCCCAAGTAGCTTCAATAGAAAGCAATTGAAAAATAAAAGAATAAAAACAGATCGAATAAATTCAACGGAATTCAAATTCTATTCGAATGTTTATTCCATTATTTTTCATATTTGTCACTGAAATCCATTGCCTGCACGGTTGAAATATAGGTGGTGAAGTGGGCAATGGCAATGAGCAATCTAGTATGGCAGCAAACAACGAACAAAAAATTTGGAAGCAAGTCAGCAATAGATACTTAGAGAGAGAAGGGGGGAGGGAGCGAGAGTATTTCGCGATTCCAACGGCAAACGCGTCAAAATAAGCAGCAAAATCGTAAACAACGTTCAAGGTCTTTTTCAATTCCTTTGTCTCGTGTTTTGGTGCTTTTCTTGTGAGAGTTTCTTCTCTTTCTCTCTCCTTCTCCCCCAAAAACACGCTGCAAATTATATGTGCAAGTGGCAATTGACCTTCGCCAGCGAATTTACTTTCGTCCTTGTTCATTCCAAATCCTATTGTCTCCCCAAAATTACAAAGCGGACTAATCGACTCATTCTTAGGCCATACCAACTTGCTCATTTTCAAAACGCACCGCTTGGATTAGTGGGAAGATCTCAACCGTTAAGGGTCAGTTTGGATCAGCGATTGGAAAAGTAGCTTATTGAAAAAGTAGCTTATGAAGAAGTGAAGTTGGGTAAAAGCTAAATTAGATAAGCTGAATTGTGTTTGAATTGGAGTTCAGAAAAGCTAGTTTGCAAAAGTGAGATTAGTAAAAGATTGTTTGGATTATGGTTGAGTAAAAGTAAGTTTAGTTGTAAAATGACCAAAATGGGTATGAGTTTTAATAAATAATGAAATATGATTAAAAAATAATTTCACATAATATAATGAAATTAAAATAATTTAATGTGAAAAAGTTAAATTTAATGAGTGAATTAAATTTTAAAACTTTAGAGAAATTATATAAAATATTCCTCTGGTCCTAAATATAAAACTTTTTTATAGTGTAATTACACTACAAAAAAGATCTTATATTTAGGATAGGACTTATACTATAAAAAAAGTTTTATATTTAGGATCAGAGGAGTAATCTAAATATAAAGTGAAACATTAAAAAAATATAAAAGTGAAAAAAAATGACGGAGGATGTGGGAGAGGTGTGAGAGTCAGATGTGAAAAAAAAACTCAGGAAATGTGTTAATATAGCTGAAGTCAGAGGGGAAAAAAAAAAGCTCTGACACGTGCAACAGTGAAAAAGCAGAATAAGCTCCAAAATAAGCTACAAAATGCAGCTTCTCCCCCAACGCTGGCTTAACAGCTTAAAACATATAAGCTCCTTTTGAAGTTAAGCCCAACCAAACGGATGACTACCTTGCAATCGGACTTGTAGCAAAAATAAGCTACTTTTCACTCCAAGTAAGCCCAACCAAACAGGCTCTAAATCTGCAAAATGTAAGACAATGAGAAGCTGACAGGTAGATAGCTGGGTCTTTCATTTATGGAAATTTTCACGCGACCCAGGCCGTAAAAGAAACAAACGAGAAATCAGAGCTTGACTCTGAGAAGTCCAATCCACCTATTCACAATCACAGACACCTTCAATATAATTAACGAAGTTTCCTCCTGCAAAGAGAAAGTAGGTGCTACAAAGATATAGTGATGATAGCCCCTTAAGGAAGACGAGGAAAACAGAACGAGTGGGATGCTTCGATTAATAGAAGTGGTAGGTGAAAAAAAAAAAACATATAGAACTTTATGGGGCATTTTTTGCTGTTATAAGAAAAAGATTGGTTTTTGAAAAAGATATGTTATTTGATTGTGATGGGAACTTCATAATGGATGATGAATTAAAACCAAAAATAGGAAGGGGATTTGGAAGCCCAAAAGAAGCATGGATGTTCTAGAATGATTATGCTAGAAAGACTCGTTTCGAACTAGAAAGTATAATGGTACAAAAAACAAAAAAAAATTTGTGGAACCGTTACAGATAGATATATCAATATGTATGCTGCAAGGAGGGTCTTAAAAAAAAAAAAAGACAGAGAGACATTCTTCTAGGCATCAAGCTAAAACAAGGACTAACTGTAAAGCAAGAATAGCAGTATCTCATGTTGATCAGAAGTTCAAAATCACTAGATTTAATGAAAAACACAATTACCCTCTCCACACTCAAGATTCATTACACTTGTTGGCATCCCAAAGAAATTTATTAGAAGTTGATGCCCATGAAATAGACTTTACAAGAAAGTCCGGACTCCAACAAAAGGCTACATTTTATAAATTTAACGGTTGAGATCTTCCTACTAATCCAAGTGGTGCTTTTTAAGGATGAGCACCAGCTGCTTATAGATGCGCTGAGCATGGCATGTGAACTCTACGATCTCATCCACCAAATTAAAAATATATAAAACTAAACTCAAATGATGCATTAATGTCAATATAAAACATAAAATTTGACATACAAAACATATATGTGTCATATAACATACTATTTATGGTCTACAAATTAGATTTTATAATTACGACTAGAGGTAGTATTCTTTAACTATCTATTCATTCATAACTGTATATCGCTAGTGTTAACCTTGGAGGTATAAATTAGGTTGTATTTTAATATTGAATATCTCTGTTAAATATTTTTAAATATAAAATTATAAGTTCAAATCTTTTAAAAAAAATAATAGTTATGTGAATTATAAAAAAAAAATATTTTGATGGTTTGATTTCAGGATCACAGGAAACAACAATTTGTTTATATTAGTGGTTTATCCTTATCCCCATGAACGCTCAGCCAAGAGGGCCCAGTTAGTTTGTATATTATGGGTTGGTTAGTTTTATACGCATATATAGAGGCCGGGTCAGTAGAGTCAAAAGATCATTTGCTGGTCGAAAACAAAAAAAAGAGTCAAAAGATCATCCCAGTCACTGTTCCGCACGGCCACAGCCTCCTGATATTTTCCTAAATTGATTAGGAGCTTATTTGAAACAGTGGTAACTTTTTAATCATAAATTATAGAATACGAGAAAAGCACGTGTCAAAATTTTTATCACAACTTATATGAAAGTACTCATAAATATATTTTTTTAAAAGCAGATTTATACGATCCCTAGATGTATTTTTAAGTTCCCCATAATATTATTTTCCTAGAAAAAATAGATTTTCCTGAAAGAAATTAGCACAACTCATTCCTAAAAATATCAAAATACTTCTCTGACAGAGGTAGATAAACGCGATACTTTAGCCAAAAATGAAAAAAAAAGGACTTTTTGGTAAATTGAGTCAATTTCTTTACGTATTTATTTTATATATTGTAAAATTACTTCTAAAACTATGACTTACTTTTTATCTAAACACTCTCTTAAAAACAGTTATAACCTGATGAAGCAATGTCCTTTTCAGCTGCACAATATCCACTCTGAATGCTTCTTTTTTCTTTTTTTTCCCCCAACAATTATCCACTTTGAACGTTCAATGTTTGCTCTTGAAAAAATAAAATAAAATGATATTTCAATTTTCCAAACCTCAAATAACCACCTCAATAAGGGTAATTCTGTTTTAGTCACACGTGCCTTAATAAGAATTTTGAAATTTACTAAAACAATTACATTGCCTCATTTGTGCTTGTTCTGCAGAAATATTTTAAAAAAAGATTATTAATTGCATTATCAAAATGTTTTTAATGCTGTCGTATGACTTGTTAACTACGTCATAGAAGTTAAAAAATTTCCAATTCATTAGGTACTCAGAAATCTCTCAAAATTAAAATACTTCTCAAATCACATGGTGAATGACATTATTAGAGATATTGATATCGTCACAATAGTTGTTAATTGTGTTACTAGAGTTGTACATAACTTGCTCTATGCAAATTATAATAGAATTTGCTTTAATAGGAGACACAAACAGCATAATTAAATATATAGATGATTATTTGGCCTTTATCTGTGTATCACAAATTTTTTGACATGTTAATGAGTACATAATAAACCAGACAATTTTAAATTTCTATGACGTTAGCAAGTCAGTATTTGACAAGTTTGGTAATGTAATCAGCAACCTATTTTCTCATGAAATTGTGAAAGTGAGATTTTTTTCATGTTCAATAACACGACTAATGGTTATTGTAATGATATTAATAACCCTAATAACACTGTTCATTATGTGATTTGAGAAGATTTTTGAGCGCTTGATAAATTGAGAACTTTTTAGCTTCTGTAACATGGCTGATATGTCAAGCAATGACATCAACAAATTATATAATGTAATTAACAACCCGTTTTCAAAATATTTTCATAAAATAAGCACAAGTGACATGAAGACAATGTGGTGATTTTAGTAAATTTTAAAATTTCTATTTAGTCATATATGACTAAAATAAAATTTTATTTATTGAGAAGACTATTTGTGATTCTTAAAACTGAAGTATCATTTTATTATTGTTTTCCTTTTATTGTTCTGGACATATGTGTTCCTTTTGGATGTTTATTGTAAAATTTTTAACTCTAATTTCCTCAAATATCGTTTACTTTTATATTTCCTAAGCAAATTAAACAAAATCCTAATTAACCAAACAGTTTTCTCTAATTAAAAAATTTCATAAGGTCAATTTTAAAAATTTTAACTAACTTTTATTATATTTTTAACTTATACAGAAGATAATAAGATTATTAATACATAAGTATTTGCACATAACTACTTGTGACTGTTTAAGGTTAACAAAATTTCGTCTTCAGTGCTAAATAAACTAGAAATGTTACCGGCCATATGAAACCCCAGCAACCGCGGCATTGGATACTTGGATAGTGCGCAAGTTTAAAAGGAACGAATGAATCAAAGAGGTACTTTTAAAACTTGGTGAATGAAAGTATAAACCATCGGACCGGAGAATTAATTTTCTCCCAAAAAAATTATTGGGGATGACCACCAAGGTGAGAGTTGAGCGCGTAACTACATCCAATCACGTTACTCCGCGTAAGCACCTTTGATGCACGCTCCAATTACTAAAATATCCTTGAATGTTTCTCTAATCAACCATTCAACCAGCACGGTTGGGCCAAACTGGGAGCAATCACAAGTCAAACGCGTCGGCCACTCGGCCGGTGTGTTTCTTCGCTATATATATGTGTGTGTGAGAATCAACGAAAGAGCGGTGGAAAAGGAGGACGGAGGAGGAGGAAGAAATAATGTGTGGCATATTTGCTTATCTTAACTACAACGTTAACAGAGAAAGGAGGTACATCCTGCAGGTATTATTCAATGGCCTCAGGCGATTGGAATACCGCGGCTATGATTCCGCTGGCATCGCCATCGACTCCACTCTTTCCCTCGATCCAAACACTCCTCAATGCTCGTCAATTTCCATCATTCCTCCTCCCCTTATCTTCCGTCAAGAGGGCAACATCGAATCCCTTGTCAAATCCGTCTACCAAGGTCACTTACGTTCTGTACATTCTTCTTCGCATCTGCCTCTTATCGCACTCATAGTTCTCTTTCTTTTCTCAATTTTGGTGGTCCGCAGTATCTTT